GTATTGTATTTATTTTATTTTTTTAAAAACAATGCACCAAAACATTTATTCAAGATAATATGGGGGAATTTACTTCCATACCATATTACTTTGTGTGGGATTTACTTAAAAATAATATAGGGCTCACGCCTGTAATCCCAGCACTTTGGGAGGCTGAGGTGGGTGGATCACAACGTCAGGAGTTCGAGACCAGCCTGATCAACATGGTGAAACCCGTCTGACCAACACGGTGAAACCCCGTCTCTACTAAAAATACAAAAAATTTGCCAGGCATAGTGGCAGGCGCCTGTAGTCCCAGCTACTGGGGAGGCTGAGGCAGGAGAATGGCGTGAACCCAGGAGGCGGAGCCTGCAGTGAGCCGAGATCGTTCCACTGCACTCCAGCCTGGGCGACTGAGCGAGACTCCGTCTCAAAACAAAACAAAACAAAACAAAAAATAATAATAAGGGGATAAGGATGTAGGTAGACATATAGATTGGCAGTGAGTGAACAATCACTGATATTGTTTAAAGCGGCCATGAGTTGCTAATTGCTAACTCTGGGGGATGGGTACATGGATATGTTACTATTTGATTAATCTCTCTGATTTTGCATGTATTCGGAATTCTCCATAATATAAAGCTAAAGATGACTAAATCACATGTGAGAGACCCCTGCTACTTTATAAGCATAGACAATCCCACTCCTACAGTTCACACAGGTCAGCTCCCTGGCTGTTAGGACTAGAAAAGTGTAAGATGCAGCTACACAAAGCTGGAGGGGCGCCCCAGGCAGGTTGAGATTTGGAGACACTCTTGAAGCAAACCGTCTGTGTGAACACACACACATACATGTGGAGTCCCACGCACCGACCCCGGTGCAGCCCCCTCCCTGGCTCGTACCCCTCTTCTGTGCGAAGAGCAGCAGCAGGCAGGTGAGACCTTTGAGCACTTCCGCCATGACCACAGCAGTGGTGGCAAAGAAGCGGTCCCCTGGCAACGTGCGGGCGTAGCGGATGCTGAGGATGAGGGAGGCATTCTGGACCACCAGCACAGCTAGGGATATGTACTTCAGGCGCCTGTGAGCTGTGGGGAACGGAAGGGGCAAGGGGGAAGGAGGGGGTCAGAAGCCGCTAGGGCATAGCCACACCACCACCCACCCCCTCTCCTTTCTCACCCAGGACCCTCCTAGCCACCGCTACTTGTTCCCTCAGCCTGCCTTCTTCACCCAATGAGGGTCTGACTCCTACCGCCTTACTGCCTCAGCCACAAGCAGGAAGAGCCAGAAGGGAGAAATGGGCCCCACCCTGTCCAGTCCGTACCTGGAATCCTTACCGAGGTTTCAGGTAATGGCTGAGGCAAGCTCTGGCCACGCGCCTCGGCTCCCGCCCAAGTGAGAAGCAAATCCTCCCCAGACAGAATACCGACAACTACGTTCTCCACGTTTACTGAGTGTTTACTGTATGCATATCACTGGGTTAAGGGATTTCTATGGATTACCTCAATAGACTCATATCATTGTCATCTCCAAAAGAACTGCGAGGATTCCCATTTACGGATGAGCAAACTGAGAATGTATATGAAATGATGCTCCTATTTAACGAGGGACTGTCTCATGTAAAGAATAATACATCAATGCAGGGAATGAGGCCACTGTATGAGGTATGTTCACCCCCTAAGGAAAGGTCTTTCTCCCATCTAAGAAATGATTCGATTCCCTCACTCTCAGAATGGCCTACATCCCATATGGAATGATCCTCCTCATACCCAGAATGGTCTCTCCAACCCCTCCCTCCTGTGACAACTGGTTCCTCCCGACCCAGAATAGTCTACTAAATACAAGAAATGATTCCCCCATGCTCCCAGGGACTGAATCCTGTAACAGGAATGGTTATCCCACCAAGAAAGGTCTGGCTCCCTCAACCAGATGAGGAAATATTTCCCTGCACTCCACATGGTCCGTCCTCCCACCACCGCGCACCGACCCTCTAGCTAATGCTCTACCCACAATCACAATCGGCTCTCTCTGCTATACGGAAGGACCTGGCACCCTCAGAACGTTCTTTTTCCACCATATAACGATGAGCCCTCCCACCCGAACGTACAATGAACTCTACCTCCATTAGGAAGGGGGCCCCCAGAACGGTTTCCTCCGCACATAATGAAGGACACCATCATCCTCAAAATGGACCCTCTCTAGTCACATAAAGAAGGACTCGCCCCACCCTAACTCACAATAGTCTCTCTGTCCTTTTATAAGGAAGGAAGCACCACCCTCAGAATAGTCTCCCACTTCTTCAGTGAAGAACTCCCACGCCCGCAGAATGGTCTCTTCCACAAGGAAGGACCCCACATATTCAGAATGGTTTCGGTGCCCTTAGCCTTCCCAAAAAGAATTACCCTCCACACTCATAATGGTCCATATGCGGAAGGATCCCACAATCACTCTCAGAATGTTTTCTTCCCCGCCCCCAACACACTCACAATGTGCACACACAGACACACACAGACACACACACACACGTCGGTCCACACGGGATGCTCCCTCTCACTTTAGTGAGGAACATTCCCGACACCCAGCGATCCCGACCTCTGCCTCCCATGCGACTGCTCGGACACAGACTGTCTCACCCGCACTAGCAGTCCCCGGCTCTAATGCACCCGCGGAAAGCGCCCCTGGCCCGGCCGCCGCGGTGGAACCACCAGCCCCAACCGCTGCCATGTTGGCATTTGCCCGGCCCGTCCCCTCGGTAACAGCAGACCACTTCCGTGTTCGTCACTTCCGCTTCCAGGCCGCCTGAGTGAAGGTGGGTCGAGAGCCGGGATCGTCAGGGTGGTCGCTTTTCTCCTTCGCTCCTAAAAGCTCAACGTAAGAGTAGCCCCGGGATTTCCAAATTCCGTCGGATCTGGATGCCGGGGACACGACCCGATCGGCCTACCCACCGCCCCTACAGAGCTTCATCGGCCCATTCCTGTCACTAGACCCGCCTTGTCCTGCTGTTCGTCCGCTTCACTGATCGCGTTTTCCAGATCACCCCCCGATCCCGTCTCCTAGTCTCATTGGCTAAGCCATCCCTCTTTCATCTCGGCTTTTTATTGGCAGCTTCTCCATAAGGCACCGCCCCTTCCGAATCAGAAACTCCCAGGTGCTTCCTGGTTGGACTGAAGTTCCGCTTTCCCGTCTTCCAGCGAGGCCCCACCCTCTGGAAAGCACAGGGGAATCTGGGGACCAAGAAACTTTGACCTGTGGGGTCGGGTGAGGGCGTACTGGCTGAAGCATCAGGTGCGAGTCAGGCATGTAATAGCAGATAAAAGCAGAGCAGGTGAGGATAAACAAGTGAAAATGAAAAGGAAAGTTGACGCAGAGAAGACGAGTCACCAATGAGGATGGCAAATAAAGGGGACAGGCGAAAGGCTCACAGTTAGCTAGCATTTGGAAGCAGGGCAAGAGTCCGGGCCAGGGGCGGTGGCTCACGCCTGTAATCCCAGCACTTTGGGAGGCTGAGCCGGGCCGATCACCTGAGCTCAGGAGTTCCAGCCTGGGCAAAATGGCAAAACCCCGTTTCTACTTAAAAAAAAAAAAAAAAAAAAAATTAGCCGCATGTAGTGGTATGCACCTGTACCCAGCTACTCGGGAGGCTGAGACAGGAGAACCGCTTGAACCCGGGAGGCGGAGGTTGCACTGAACCGAGACAAATAAGCAGGGCAAGAGAGGTGACAGCCGAGGTCGGAGCATGTGAAACCAACATGGAATAGGGCAGGCCAGGTAAGTCAAGTGTTGAAGGAGAAATTAGAGGGATGGGTATGTAAGGGTAAAGATGGGGGAGAGGCTAAAGATTAAGAGCAAAACAGGGTGGATGCGGTGGCTCACGCCTGTAATCCCAGCACTTTGGGAGGCCGAGGCGGGCGGATCACAAGGTCAGGAAATCGAGACCATCCTGGTGAACACGGTGAAACCCCGTTTCTACTAAAATGCAAAAAATTAGCCGGGCGTGGTGGCGGACGCCTGTAGTCCCAGCTACTCGAGAGGCTGGGGCAGGAGAATGGTGTGAACCCGGGAGGCAGAGGTTGCAGTGAGCCGAGATCGCACCACTGCACACCAGCCTGGGAGACAGAGCAAGACTTTTGTCTCAAAAAAAAAAAAAAAGCAAAACAGGTGACTACACCCTGGACAGATTCCAGTCAGTGCCCAACTCCAGCCCCGCCCTCATCAGTACCCTGATAGGGCTCTTCTCCAACAGGGAAAAGGGCTTCCTCCTTCCCCTGGGGTGCCAGGGAAGGTATTTTATCTGCTTCTGAGATGGCCATCTTGATTGGGGATGTACCCTAAACACCTTCCACCTTCATGCACAGTATCTCCAACAGACAGCCCTTCTACACATACTGGGCGCTGCTTAAGATCGGGGCAGGGGGAATCAAGATTTTTTGTTTTTTGTTTTTTTTGTGGTGCAGTTTCAAGAACCCTTAAAGGTCTTTAGGATGGCAACATAAGACTGTGGCTTCCTGAGGACAAAGCAGAGGGACAGTCTATCTCAGTGCAAAGTAGATGCTCCATAAAAGCCTCACACCTACAAATGGCCAGCCGCTTCTGATTCTATTACTTTTATTAAATAGTGGGTTTCCACACATGGCTTTTTAAATAATCCAGGCAGGGGGAGAAGAGAGGAGGTCACACTTGGAACTCCCCTCCCCACAATACGTGATTATTTACATTTTAGCAACTGGACAATCCCGGCTCAGGAGGAGGTTGCAAGAATCTGCAAAAGTTGGAGGGGGGCGCCCCAGGAGAACAAACAGCAAGCCTCATTTCCCCTAGCCCATCCCCCAAAAAAACCATCCATCCCATCCTAGTGTCTGGTGGTGTCCGGTGGTGTCCATCTTCCATTCCTTCCCAAATTATGGAAGTAAGGTTCTTCTCACCAGAATAAGAGCACTTGGGATAAGAGTAGGGTCCCCTCACCCAAAAAAAAAAAAAAAAAAAAAAAAAAAAAAAGGAAAAAAAAAAAAGCCTTGGGTAACAGCAGGGCATTACCTCCCCCAGAATAAGGACTCCTGGGCTGAGGCAGGTAAGCAGCTTGACCCAATATGGGACCCTAGGCTAGGGGAAAGGGTCCCTTTACTAAAATAAAAGCAATTGGGGTATTGGAAGGAAAGCACCCTTGCCCAAGTAAGAGCATATGAACTAAGTTTGTGTGGTGGTAGTAGGAGGTGCCAATGTGGGGGTGACACGTCATCAGAATAAGAGTCCTGGGGCTCAGAATGGGAACAACTTCACTGAAATAAACTTCCTTAGCAAAATGAGAAGCAAGAACTTCCCCCTCCAGAATCAGGGACCACAGGTTCTGGGAGGAAGGCTCCTTTGTAGGATTGGGAAGGGAACTGGGCAGACTTGGTTTATGTCTTCTAACCCCTGATCCTCAATCCCTTACCTTAGTAATACTGGACTTTAATAACCGGTAATGACCTGTAAAACCAAGTCAACAAATGTCCGTCTATCCCTGTGACATGGCCATGGGATGGCTCTTCCGACCACTGGGGGCCAGACCAGGCCAGGCTTAGGGTAGCAAGGACCAGGCCAAAGGGGCGGGGCCTCCTTTGGGGGGGTTGAGGGGTGCATCCTCGGCTGGTGTTTGCATCCAGGGGTCTAGCAGGATCTCTTCCAGTGAGGGTCGGGAAGAAGGTTTGGGGGCCAGGCACCGGCGGATTAGGGCACAGCAGTCTGTGGGCCAAGAAGCAGAGGGAAGATTAGCAGTCAGTAGGGGGTACTGATCCCTGAGAGGGATGGAGTCTTCTGGGCTGGGGTCAGTGAGGCCTCACCTGGGGAGACATGAGCAGGGAAGTGGAGCTCAGCTTCCAGAATCTCCTGGTCCCTCTCGAAGGGAATGTCCCCACACACCATGTCATAGAGGAGGATACCCAGTGACCAGACAGTGGCTGGGAGTGCATGGTACTGGTGTCGAGAGATCCACTCTGGGGGACTGTACACCCTTGTCCCTGCACACAAGCCAGGGGTTAGACCACTCACTCTCATGATGCCCTTCTCCAACCCCAAACTCCCCAGGAAGGATGGCCTCACCACAATTAAGAGCACTCAAGATAAAAGCAGAGTCCCCTCACTAGATAAAGAGCAGCTAAAATAGCAGAGTCCCCTCAACAGAATAAAAGCATTGAGAAGTAACAGGATCCCTTTACCAGAGAAAGGATACTGAGGATAGTAACAGGATACCCTCACCAGAATAGGAGCCCAGAATAAGGTTAGTGCACTGTTAAAAGATGGACTTTATCAGAGGGCAAGGCTGAGAATCCCCAGTATTAGCAATCGATCATCTTATACAGATGCAGTATGGGTCAAGGATTACAGGATACCCCACCACTGGAGGCCAAAGGTCACGAGTCCATCAAGTAAAAACAATCCCTCCAGGGAGATTTAGAGAAGCCTTACCATCAAAGTCAGTGTAGGGTTCATCATGGAGCAGGGCACCAGAACCAAAATCAATGAGTTTGGCACAGCCACGGCGTAGGTCTATCAGGATGTTCTCATCCTTGATGTCACGATGGACAACTCCACGGGCATGGCAATGCTGGATGGCTGCCACTACTTGACCAAAGAAGCAGCGGCTTGGGCCTTCACCCAGCGGGCCCTTCTCTGTGATATAGTCAAAGAGATCCTGGGCAGGCAAAGGCCGCTCGAGGACCAGCATGAAGCCCTCTTGTGTCTCAAACCAGTCAAGCAGGCGGATCACGCCAGGGTGCCCACCGCCTGCACCCACTTTCCATAGCAGTGCCACTTCGAGTGGGCATGTGACTGAGTCTGACTGGGGGAACAGGTAGGGTGGGAAGCAGAGAGAGAAAAAAGACAGATGTCAGGGCAACAGCTCTGAGGCTTTTTACCTAAGCTCAAATTAGGGTCCCTTCTCCTGACAGTGTGTTGTTGAGCAACTCACTTCCCTTCCTGGGCCTCAGTTTCCCTAAAGACACAAACTCACACAGTGATTGAGAGGGTGAAACCAGCAAAGAGCCTGCACAAGTCTTGCATGTAGTAGATCAATAAACATTTGAATAAACGAAAGTTTGGCTGGGCACAGAGGCTCATCCCTGTAATCCCAGCACTTTGGGAGGCTGATGTGGGTGGATTGCTTGACCCCAAGAGTTCAAGATCAGCCTGGGCAAAATGGCAAGACCCTGTCTCTACACAAACACAAAAATTAGCCAGGTTTGATGAAATGCACCTGTAGTCCCAGCTACTCGGGAGGCTGAGGTGGGAGGGTCCCTTGAGCCCAGAAGGGAAAGGTTGCAGTGAGCCAAGATCGCACCACTGCACTCCAGCTGTCTCAAAACCAACAAAAATAGAAAAAACTGGTTTTTAACAAAAGGCCTTCAGCAGAAGCAGCACCATTATGTGGTATTTTGTTTTGTTCCCTGACATATCCCAGGATATTAGAATAGTACCTTACACAGTAGGTGCTCAATAAATGTTAAACAGATGACAGCACTTGATAGCATGGGCTCTGACAAGCAGTTAGCACTCAATAAACACTGTTATTGTGTAATGGTTTGTTTTGTTCACGGACCTATATGAAGCACTAGAACAGTGGCTGCTAACAAAGTAGGGCTGAATAAATATTTGTCAAACAGGTAAAACAATTAGTAAAAAATGCCCTAGCAAAAAATGAGCTCTCAATAATTATGTAATACTTTGCTGAGTGTCTAGAGTTGTGTCTGTCATATAGTAGGTGTTCAATATACCTAATTTGTTAAACAGCTGACTGATTTATTGCAAAGGACCTAGTACAAAAGGACTTAGTGTTATCATGTATTTTGTCAGCATCACCAAGCACCTAGAACTAGTCAATAAAAAGCATAAACGTGGCCCTGCACAGTGGCTCACGCCTGTAATCCCAACACTTTGGGAGGCTGGGGCAGGCAGATCACCCGAGGTCGGGAGTTCGAGACCAGCCTGACCAACATGGAGAAACCCCGTCTCTACTAAAAATACAAAATTAGAGGCCGGGCGCGGTGGCTCAGCACTGTGGGAGGCCGAGGCAGGTGGATCACCTGAGGTCGGCAGTTCAAAACCTGCCTGGCCAACATGGTGAAACCCTGTCTCTACTAAAAATATGAAAATTAGCTGGGCATGGTTGTGCGCTCCTGTAGTCCCAGCTACTCGGGAGGCTGAGGCAGGAGAATCGCTCGAACCCAAGAGACGGAGGTTGCAGTGAGCCGAGATTGCGTCACCTCACTCCAGCCTGGGCAACAGAGGGAGACTGTGTCTCCAAAAAAATAAAGAAAAATAAAGTATAAACGCTACTGGCCACAAAATCCGCCCCCCAACCGCCTCCCCACGCCCTGCGCAGGAACACTTCGACCAGCAACCTTCTGGGCTGAGGTAGAGCCCTCTCCTGGCCAGGCTGCTGACTTGCACAGCAGCAGACGTTTTCTCGCCGAGACGCAAAAATTCCGATATTGCGCAGGCGCAATTTCCTCTAGAGCCCACCAGGGGGCGCTCCCAACTCTACAACTTGCCCAGACCCGCCCTGATGTCGGTTAGCGCTATAACGGCAGGAGAGAAGCAGCCACCATCACCATGGTAACCAGTGACCTCTGCCCCTCGTTCCCCACCAGCATGCCCTGCGGGCAGTCCCCCAGCAGTGTTTGGAGGGAGGATGGGAAAGGATTGTTGGAGGGGAGAATCCAGGGCTCTAGGGGAATTGGGGTAAATCAGAACTGTATGTCACCCCAAGGGAGTATACATGGGCTGGCAGGAGTGTTCTCACTGTTACAGGGCCCAGGGAGTCATACATCCCCTGGAAAAGCAAGGAGGTGAATTCATCATCAGTGATGGAATAGGTAGGTCAGGAAGGGCTCCGAAGGTACTCACCAAGGGGGACCAGCCCAGCACACGATTCCGGGGAATCACTTTGATGGCCACCTGGAGAAGAGAGGGGCATGGTAAGGAGGCCAGCCAGTGATCCCCAGACCCCTCCCAGTCTAGACCTTCTGCCTACCTCCAGTATTCCTCCATCTACCAGCAGTCTAGTCTTTCTGATCTCCAACCACACCACCCCACACAACTCATACCAGGGCGTCTCCACTGCCCTACAAGTCCTCGGAACCAGGTTCATCTCTCTCACCTTCCTGAGCCCTGGGCTCTCCGTTCTCAGGCACCAGGACTCATCACTCCAAGTCCTGAGTTCTAGATTTCCTGATACCCCAGGCCCACAATCTTCCTATTTAGCTCTACGACACCCCAACTCTGTACCAGGGTCCTGGTCCGTATGACTTCACACTGGACACCTACCTCCAAAAGTCCCATAAATCTCACATCTAGGTCCCCGCTTTCCCACACATACGCAGCCTGGACCCTGGGGTCGAGGACCTCCGGAATCTGAAGCCCCCTGTCCCCTCACCCCCAACACAACCCCCTAGACCGACACACACGCGCGCACACGCACACACACACCTGGCCCTCTACACACACTGCAGGCTCACTCCTCGGACACACACACACACACACACACCCCCGGTCCTCTACACACTCTGCAGGCTCACTCCTCGGTCAACCAGCATTCCAGGCCCAGGATCCCCGCCCCCGCCACACGCACCTGACCCTCCCAAGACCCTTGTGACGGATACCTGGAGTCGATCTGTGAGGCGGTGTCCTGCGAAGACGGTGCCAAAGCCCCCCTTACCCAGGAGGGGGCCGAGTCGGTACTCGGCCTCGAACGCTTCCCGATCCTTGCCTCCTACGCAGGCGGAGGCGAGGAAGTCAGGGTGGTAGCGTGCTGAGCCCAGCCACGACTCCCTCCCCCCGCGCTGCAACCCATCATTCCAGCCCACCCCGTCTGGTTGTAGCAGGGGAGGATGTGCTCACCTGGCGGCGGCGTGGGGGTCACGGGGGGCGCAGGAGGCCCCTGCAGAGGCTTAGTCAACATGGAGGTGGCGCTGCGCAGATTGAGTCCACTGAATCCGCTAAGCCCGCAGGGCGTGGACGCCCGGGGCAGCGCAGCTGGGGAGCCAGGGCTGGGGGGCGCCAGGGTGGAAGGCAGAGAAACTGGTGGTCCGGAAGCGCCCGCAGACGGCGCAGCGTTAAGATTCGCCGCGCGCGCCAGCCCCAATGCTACTGAGCCTGGGCACGCGCCTCCCGGGAGAGTCACCCTGGGCGACAGCCCCGCCCACCTGGCTTTGATCAATCCGGACGCGGCACCTGCTGTACCACAGCCAATCGGAGCCACTCCTTATTTGCATACCACCCTCATCGTTTCAAGTGCCCCCTTATGCAAATACACGCTCGGTTCTTCCGAGGAGGCGGGGCCTGCATGTAAATGAGGGGGCTTGAGGTGGGGCTCACACCAAGAGGAAACCGGTTCTGGGAATCCCTTTGCAGCACCGCGCTTGTTTTGGTTGTTGCGCGGGGTTGTTGTTGGTAGTGGTGGCGGTGTGTGTATTTACACTTAAAAATAACTGCGCAGTATCCTTTCCTGGGAAGTTGGTTTGCCGCCGCTGCCTGGATATTAGCACAGAGATAGCGCCAGGCCGGGCTTCTAAGAATCTATCCAGGACCCCGTCTCGAAAGGTGCTTGTCGGACTCCTTCACCGGAGTCTTCCAGGCGGCCTTCACTGGAAAGCTGAGGCCAGGGCCCTGGAAATATCTGGTAGCCAGGGAGGGGGAACCCACACCATCAACGCCACGGGTGCGCATTGGTCAAAGGCAGCATTGCCTGGGGAGTGTTTATTGGAGCTTTTAACCCTGAGCCCTGGGCCCAGTCAGCAGGTCTAGAATCTAGAACAGCAGAGGGTGGTTCTTGGGGGATGGGGGTGAGCCCAGAGTGGTGGTGGCATGGGCTGCACTTGGAGTTGAGAGAGGCAAGGACTGAGAAACATGATAGAGGCTGCTAGACAAGTGGCAACCCTGACACAAATTTGTGAAAAACAGCCAGAGAAGGCGCCACACCCCAGGAAGAAAAATGCACTCCAAAGACAACATGAATGCCAGGATATACACAAACACATACTGTCAGACACATTCACAGAAACGACCTAGATACACATGCAGCCAGAGACTGACATACACTTTCAGGCAGGCACACTGTCAGAAAAATAGTTATGTCCTAGAATGACACCCAGAGATACACTGTTACAGAAAGGCACTCACGCAGACCTACATTTGCCATGTGATAACACAGAAATGTCCCGTCAAACACACTGGCAGAACCTGTCACAAACACACTGTCACCATCAGACATGCACTGTCACAGCAAGACTTGTACTGTCCCAGAAATGAGAGACGCAGAGTCTGTCACAGAAGATACACAGATGCTCCAGGAACACACATGCACTGCTCTGAAGGCAGACATGTACTGATGTGATAGAGTCACATTTGTGGCAGTGTCACAAAAGCAGACATGGATAGACCTGTTCAGACACAGACACACATACACCATGACACATGCAGCTTATCAATGGAACAAACTGTCCAGAAATAGCTACCCAGAATCTGTTGCAGGAACACAAACGGACATCCACCCCATCAGACAGAAACCACAGATGCACTGTCACAGACCCACGCAGGCATGCACTCATCTTGGCTTTAGACACAAACTGTCAGAGATAAGAGTCCCACACTCAGTCACCATCTGACACACCTGGAAACAAGCCCTCATCACACACACAACTGGAGACACTGTGAGCTGCACATGAAGACTTGGACTCACCACAGTCACACACACACAGACACCACCAAAAAAGCATACATGTATTCTCCTTTGTTCACCCAACATTATTAGGGGTTGGTTTGCTATAAGCCTGCCAGGCCTTGATGGGGATGTTGCTATTAGAGATGTACAGATAAGTCAGGCATCAAACCTGTGCCATGAAGTTTATCTGTAGTACAGTTACTGGGGAGATTTTTAGATAGAAGTGAGAATGTGAATGGGCTTCTCAGCAGGTGACCCTCTACTTGTCTTGAAAGACAAAGTTGGTGGCTCAGGACAGGGGAGGGCAAATTGCAGGCAAAAGCCAAGAATACTGGATAGAGCGGTGAGAGATTGGCAGGGGCCAAACGGTGCAGGAACTTCTACAAAAAGGATAGTACTACTAACATTTGTGCTCTCAATGTGCCAGGCACTGTGCCCAGTAGTACATTACTTTGATCATACATATTCCCTCTAGATGATCACAAGCAGACAGCATGAGGGATTTTTTTTTTTTTTTTTTAAGACGGAGTCTCGCTCTGTCGCCCAGACTGGAGTGCAGTGGCGCAATCTCGGCTCACCGCAACCTCCACCTCCCAGGTTCAAGTGATTCTCATGCCTCAGCCTCCCAAGTAGCTGGGATTACAGGCACGTACAACCCACCCAGCTAATTTTTGTATTTTTAGTAGAGATGGGGTTTCTCCATGTTGACCAGGCTGGTCTCGAACTCCTGATCTCAGGTGATTCACCCACCTCAGCCTCTCAAAGTGCTGGGATTACAGGCGTGAGTCACTGCACCCAGCCTAATCACCTCTTGTACAGATGAGACACTTGAAACTCAGAGAAGCTATGAATTGACCAGGGCCACACAGCTAGAAAATGCCAGGCAAGGTTTCAAAGCAACTCTACAACAAATAGATGCTTGGCCATTGGGTTCCAGAGACACCCCACAGCCAGCCACTCAGCTAGCCATGCCCTCAACTGCAGAGCCAGACACACATCCAGCCAGAGGGTCTCCATTATCATGGCATGGTGAAAAAGATGCTTGAGAAAACCTGGGGGCTAGCCAGCCTTCTTTACCTTGGATTTACCCCTAGGAAGGGCAGGGAAAGAGGTGTCAGACTGGGGGACAAGAAAAAGGGTTTAGCCATCCTTCACCTTCTAAAACCTAGTGGGGAAGGCCCCTCTGGTTACTTCCACTAAACCCATGTCGCTACAAAGTATTAGTTGTACTTTTCCAAGGTTTTTCTTCATCAGATCATGATAAGGAAAGAGCAACATTCATGGTGAGAGGCAGGCAAAGAAGCTGGAATTCAGGCAGGAAGTTCAAGCTCACAGTCCTCTGCTACCATCACACCCCCAGGAAATAGGGTAGGCAGGGGTGGGGTCAGCAGGCAAAGACGCAGCTTTTCCAGTGGTAATAGGTCCAGAAGGAGGTTTAATAAGCAGCAAATAAAATACAAACACCAGGCACCCAGACAGACCCTGCTGGAGAGCACTCACACCTCTGAGGTCAAGCCAAGGTCCGTGCCATTGCCTCCTCTGCCCAGAGGCCCGCCCAACCCCTGCCCCACACAGAACAGAGCTGCTCAGGGAAACTGACATTTGGTTTTATTGTGCCAAGGACATTACAGATGGTGGATCTTGTCAACACCTGCAGGGCACGGGTGCCCCATCTGCCAAAGCTGCTCCCACACTCCTTATAACTCAAATCCCGGGTGGCAGCCATAATCCCCAAAGATGCCCCCCACCCCAAGATTCCAAAGAGGCTAGTGGTGGTGGAAGCAAAAGGAATGCAGCAAGGTCAGGGTTTCATTGTCCAAGCCGGCCTGACACCTGCCGCCCTGCCCTGCCCTTGCCCAGTGCACACCCTAGACCCTGGGCCGGCCTCCATGCAGCTGGAGGCCAGAAGACAGCAACCCACATCTTTGTGCCCTCCTCCATGCCCCATGGCCTGCCTGCCCAGAGAGATGCCACCTTCACAGAGCCACTGCTGTCGTCTATATCATTTTTGATTAGTTGATTTTATAAGATAAAAGTACATTTTAATAAAGAAAAAATTCAACATTGAAGGCTCAGACGTTCTTGGGGTACTGGGAAGGGAAATTTCCCACTTCTTCCTCCCACCTCCCTGGCATGAGTGTGGGTGGGGGGGGAGGGCAAGTTTTTCTCATCTTGGAAGGAATGAGGGGCAGGGAGACTTTCCTCTGTCTGAATGTCTCTCTCCTCTGGGGCTGCCTGGCTGCCAGTTGGTCTGTCTCTGTGTGCCTCTCGTCTATCTTCGGCACCCTTGCCCGAGTCCCCTGTGGAATGCAGGGATGGTTCTGTGTGGGGTTGGGGGGGCAACAGGGCACGTCAGCTGGCAGAGAGACAGGTGATAGTGGCAGCGGCAATGAGAGGGAGCGCAGGGGTGGGCTAGCCAGAGAGAAGTGAGAAGGAGGGAAAAGGGGGGAGAGCAGAAAGAACAGAAGGAGGCAAGAGGGAAGAAGCCAAAGAAGGTGAGGTGGCACCGGAGAGCAGGAGTACTGGGGTTGGGAGATGGTGTCCAATCCCTGGGTCTCCATCAACTCTTGTCTGGGGGCGGGTCTCTGTGCACTTTATTTTTCTTCATACTGTCTAGGTATTCCTGTTGGGACACTGCCAGCACCGACGCTAGGATCTCATCATCATCCCAGTCATTCAGACCTGCTGGGCGAGAGGAAGAGGAAAAGGATGATGGAGCGCTCTCAGCCTGCCTTCTCCTCACCCTGTGCCGACGTCTGGGGCTCTGGAGAAATCCCATAGGGCCCTTCTCACTCCCTTCTCAAACAGAAGGATCTGCTAGGCCTGTGAAACCCCACTTAGACCCCAGACCCTTCTGGGGCGAATTCTTTGGGTCAGAAAAATCCCCTCCAGTGCCTCTCCCTTGTTTTCTTGGAGAGATGGCCAGAGGCTCCAGAAACCCCCTCTCAGGACTTGCCACTTCTTCCAGTCTCTCCCAGCTCCTAGCAGCCTCCATCCCCCCAGACAAAGGAGGCTTACCAAAGGCAGAGGGGGACATCTGCTGAATGAGGGCCCGGCACTCCAAAGCAGGGTAGAGGGACACAAGGGGGGAAGTTGCCCGGTCGGCCCCTGCCGAGAACTGACTGCTTGTACCTGAAGCAGACGGACAGTCAAAGGTAGGGACCCAGGACCCAGGCAGTGCCTCCTAACTCCCAGCACATTCCCTGTGGGCAAGTCACTGACCTGGCGCACAGGGCGAAGGAGGTTTGGCAAGAGCTAAAACAGTGCCTGGGGAAGGGGGCTTGATGCCCAATTCAGCATGCAGCTCAGGATGCTCAGGTGATGAGGCTGAACTCCGCTGCCGTGGGGACCGGCTAGTCCACTCCTCCAGGCCACTGGAGGCTGCTGCTGTGGCCGAACTGCATGTGGCG